CCTTCTCTTTCCAGAAGCCCAATGACTTGGGCTGTCCCAAGGGCAAGTGGGATCATCACTATCACTGCCTGGTTTTTCCTCTGTTCTAGTGGCTGGAACCAGAGGGATCTTGTGGTTTGATTCATTTACATTCAAGAAAGGTGGGGTTAAGAGAACACATTCACTCTGAAAATCAAATCAAAGGACTGCAGCAGTGGCCAGCAAACCTTAGCTGAGCCTGTCAAATCTCCCAGCACGTCTATAACTGCAGAAATAGGTAGCAACAGGACTAAACCAAACTAACCACAGGGAAGATGACTCTGGGTCTCTGGAGTACTCAAACCATACTCCCTGGGCATTAAGCGGGGGAAAAAAGGGAAGGCAAATTATCATCAGGAAGAGAACGGGATAACCAGGCCCAGGAGATGCCAGGTGAAGGTCATGAGGATGCTGAGCAGGGCTGGTCAAGGTTTGTGAGTGGGGTTAGTTATACAGTGTCAGAACTGGAAGGATCCAGCCCCCTCATTTTACAGATGAGGAAATTGAGGCCTACAGAGGCTAAGTGACTTTAACCACAACTAGTTGGTGAAAGCCACAATAGCATGCTGGTCACTGTTTCTGGGCAGAAATAGCTAAGCATGGGAACCTGAGAATTTCAATGCCTTCCTGGGTATTCAGGAGGCTGTGACCCAAAGAAGGGGCAGCTTAGATGCAGACAGTTGGTTCTAGCCTCACAAAACCCCGTATCAATTTGAGAAAACAAAGGACCAGAGGAACAGGAGTTTTGGGAGGATCTGGGCTGGTTCCCTAAAGGGAATTGTCCAAGACTGTATTTTTTCTTCCTGCAATAAACTCCGAGAAGAAACTTATCTGATCCCTGTTTACAGCTCAGTATCCCCTGCCCGCTTCTGGTAGGTCGAAGAGCTTAAGCAATAGCTACTGAGTTCCACAGTCCTCAAGGAGAAAGGGCTAACTCCTCAGGCCTGTGATCTTTGCTCTCCTGGCATAACAAAGCCTGTAGCCTGCTGCAAGCCCTGAGGAGTAAACTTGTCTCCTTCAATCAGAAGAAGTCTGATTAGATGTCATCTAGTCCCACCTCCCAGGCCGTGCCAGAATCTCCTCCACAACATAGCTGTTCAGCCTCTGTTTGGAACCCTGGCCTTATAGTCTCAGGTCACCTGCTACCATAGTCTTCAATGGGGGGAGTTCAACAAACTCACAGCTTCTACTGTCATCCACACAAAGGACCTTAAAGAAAGTTGAGACCCATTGGGCAAGAACTGGAAAGGACAGGGGAGAACAGACAGATAAGTTTCTTATGTTGAACTAAAATGTTTGTAAGGAGCTTAGAAGCTGCCCAATGAGGATAAGAACAATTTTCTTGTGTGTCTTAGCACACATTCTCCTATTCACTGATTCAAAGACATTCTTGGATAAAGGAATTTCAGTCCCCCACCCCATTTGTTCAATTCTTCACTAGCGGGCTCCTTCATTTATTCTTGAGCTCTGACCAGCCAGGGATACCTCCTGCATGCCTTCATATCCCTTTTCCCCCCAAATCTCAGCCCTTCCAACTCTTCTGGGAGCAAACATGCCCCAGGGCTCATCTGGCTACAGGCAAGGAGCTGCCTCGGTCAATTTGGGCAGGGATAGTAGAAAGAAATATCCCTCCCTGGATGACCAAGGCATGGAGCTCCAGACCCCAGGAAGCTTCTCACAGGGATATGGGATTGGATACACTTGATTCTTAAGCCCTGTAGTGATGATTGTTAGGAAATATCTGTCCTGTTACCCTTTCCAATTCAGACCCTCTTGGAAGACTCCCAGGATGGGGACCCTATTAAATTGAATCTATACACAGCCATTCAAGCTAATGGCTCATGTCACTCACTGTACTACCAGGGACAGTCAGGAGAGTCAGACTTTGGGGGTTGGGTGGTCATGGAAACACAGTCTCCTCTGTGGCAAATAGGGAAAGAGAAGGCAAGTCAATGACCCTAAGTCCCAACATCTTTCTTGGTATTACTCCTGGGCAAGGAACATGGTTGAGGCATGACACTGCCAAACAACTCAAATGTTGGACAAATAAGGATTTAAAAAAAAAAAATCTCAATGGGACAGAACACTGGGCTAAATTTAAAGAGATGAAAAAGGGGAAAAAGTAACATCCTACATTTGGGCTCAAAGAATCAATTTCATAAGTATAACAGCATAGCCAGTACTAGTTCATCTGAAAAAAAAAATACTTAGGGAGTTTTAATGAACTGTAAAATCAACAAGAGTACACAATGTGAAAAGTCTTGGGTTACACTAAGAGGCACAATATCTAGGACCTGGGAATGGAGAGCTCCCTTCTAGTCTACCTTGGTCAGGCCACATCTGGACTACTGGATTCAGTTCTGACACACTTTAATTAGACCATTCATGAACTGGAGAGTGTCCAGTGAAGGGGCAACTGGGATGGTGAAGAAACTTGAGATCATGTCACATCAAGATCAGTTGACAGAACTGGGGATGTTTAGTGTAGAGAAAAGTTTTGGAAGGAATACAATAGCCGTCTTCAAGTATTTGCAAGTCTGTCATGTGGAAGAGGGATCAGAAAATTGTTCTGCATGATCCCAGAGAGCAGAACTAGGAATAACAGGAGGAAGTTGCAAAGAAACAAATACAGTTTGATAGAGGAGAAACTTCCTAACAATTAGCAATATCCAGAAATGGGATGCCAGCAAAGGCTGGATGACCTCTAGTCAGATACGCTATAAAGAAGACTGAGATCCCTTACAACTATGAGATTCTATGAGTTGGGAAATGACCTTGAGAGAACTGGCCCTGAAATACAAGAAAGTGAATAACAGACAGCCTTGTATCAGGTCCCTATGGAGTACTTCTAATCCAGGAGTGGCCAAGCACACATTTTGGAGGGAGTGAATTCATGGTAAAATTTGGAGGTGCCTGAGACAATAGGGGAAAAAAGGCCCTGTATAAGACTTTCCATAATAAGAATTCAGGTTTCACTGGGACAATGTGACTGAATGACAGTCCTCCTTGTTGAACAGGTTTCTCAGAGAAAAATGGGACCACCCTAAAGGCAGATGAATGATTCCAAGAGGAAGGTGGTATCCAGTCCCATGAGGCCGGGGGGGGGGGGGTGTCCCCATGCTCAGCTCCACAGGGGCTAGCCTAGGTTGGAAGGGGTCCATGGGCAGCTATAGGGCTATGATCCCAGGGCCTTTGAAATATGTTAGACAGGAGATGCACAGCAGGCTTCCTTGGCCCTAATCTCTTGGTTCTTGGCTAGGCTAGTAGCCTCCGAGGCTCTGGCACCTGACAAAGGGAAATATAACCTGAGGGCAGAGCTAGAGGATGTAGGCATTATTTCAATTAAGCCTTCCCAGCAGCTTCAATGGTGAGGGAAGGAGGAGAGAAGTGAATGACATGTAAAACCTAGCCTTCACCTCTAGGGTCAGCTTTGTAGGCCTCCCTAGTCATTCTGGCTTAGAACAAATCATCTTCCTCAGGGCCAGGGGCCCACTAACTCCCTCTCCAGGCACTTTCCAGTTGCAATGCATTCTGGGAACTGATGTCATTACATAAATAATGTCACTGCTATAAAACTAGGCAGCAATGCTCCCTCCCCCCTCCCTTCCTGGAAAATGTTATAAAAGGGGCTGGTTCCAAGTTTCCAAAGAGGAAACGATCTGGGAGGTTTTGACTTTGACTCCTCCTGGTCCAGGCCTCCTCTCTCTGAGATGGAACCAGCATAGGCCACCCACCCAACTCAGGGCCTCTCTGAAGTGATCATCTAAGACTCCTGGGAACTGGGCACCATGGATAGCCCAGACCCTTCCTGAACATTGCCAGAGTGAGCTGTGAGCTGAGCTTCTTTGATAGGGACACCTGCTTGCTCCAAGACCCACACAACTTTACCTGACTCTATAGTAGGTGCTTAATAAATGCATGCCAATTGATTTAACCTCTCATTCCCATTAGGGACAAGTGGGACAAAGTGGGTCATCAGGGACAGAGATAAGGGCTACCTTGCTTCCTCAATCTTGGAAGGGCCATATTCTGGGGCAGCCCATGGTGGTATGGATAAAAGGGAGAGGACAGGACCAAATACAATTCTGCCACAGAGAGGCAGAGGGATCTGGAAACAATGTCGGGGAAATGGAGTAGGTGGAGGGAGGACTCTGGTATGCTAGTACCCTGCATTGTTGCTCTTAAGGAACCCAGCCCACCCTTGGTTAAATCACCCAGGTTGTTAAGTCTGCGAATTCACAGCTATCCTGATTCTGTTCATACCACAGTTTGCTTCATTGCCAACACCAAGATTTTAATAATACATTTGAATTCAAGTAACATGAAAGTGTTCTTCCCAAATCTTGTAAAGATTCAGACAGAACCCTTTACATGCTGCTTACCTAGGCCAGTCTGCAAAAATGAACAACACACACTCAGTGACTTTTTTCTGATAATAATACTTAATACTTGGAAAGGAAGCACTTTTGATCTCTAAATAGCCCCATGAGGTAGGTAAATAGCATCCTCATTTTACCAAGTGAAAACTGAGGCCCATTAAGGAAAGGTCACCTGCCCATACCTCTCCTGCATGGTCTGTCCTCTTTGACTGAATTCTCATCCAATATCAGGCCCTTTGGGACCGAGGGAGGGGGTGTGGACAGGCTGTAGCAGCAGCAGCAACAGCAGCAGCTGCAGAAGCACTGGGCTTGACTGCAGGCATATACATCCTGTTCCTGTGTGTGTGGGCTTTGGAACCAGCAGCTTTTGCAGGCTTCCACAATTATGGATATATGTGGCTTTCTTCCCCCTCACCTAAGGGGGTGCTAGCTAGGAGGGGATGCTGCCATTTGAGGTCGTCGGCTAGGCCCCAACTTCCCATGGCCGCTTGCTTTGCGTTCAGTGGCGTCTGTCCCAGTAGTAGGAGGGCACTCCCAGCCCCGTCTTTCCCACCCCCTCACCTTCTCCCCAGCCCCAGCCCTAGCCCCAGCCCCAGCCCCATGACAAAGTGAAATCCACCACCATCCCCATTCCAATTCTGTCTGCTCCAGGGTCTACACAAAGCAGCCGCACACTCCATCGCTCAATCATTCTCTTGCACGCATTCTCTCTTTCTCGCCCTCTTGGCACTGGAGCTCAGGCTGCTCCTCACTAGGCCTTCTTACACTTCCCCTTTTTCTCCCGCTGTTGGAACTTCCGGAGCCGCCGTGCCCACGTGTCCCTCCACTGGATCACCAGGCTGGTTTTATCAGCCACGATGCCATTCTGGTCAGGAGAATCCTCGTCATTTCCAAGCAGCAGGTATTTCTTCAAGGCTTTGATTTTAGGGCACTTACAAGCCACGTCCCTTGAGCGGATCCACAAGCTTTGGTCCCCCCTCCGGATCCGGCTGGTGCCCTGTTTGTATACGGAGATGATGTTGACTGTGAATTTCCACCAGTCCCCAGCTTTATCAGCCTTCAAAATGTGAATCTGGACAGCTGCAAGAAACCAACATAAAGACAGCATTAAGGGGGCCGGGAATGTCTGCAGCAAAAATGCTACCTTCAGAGACAAGCAAAAGTGAGCAGCCACCAGCCATGAGTTGGGGGCTGGGTACAACAAGGAGCATTTTCAGTATCATTTGTTCTAAATGTACTTTATTGGGGGCCAAAAAAATCCCACTGCCTGTGGAACTTTGGTATTTATTTTAGGGTGAATCAAGACCAATGTGTTATAGGAAAGGCCCAATGTTTCTGGTGTATAACATCAAAGGGTAAAATTATCATCATTATTATTGTTATTATTTTTTTGCTTTTTGGTGAGACAATCGAGGTTAAATCTCTTGCCCAGGGTCACACAGCTGGTATCAAGTGTCTGAGGCCGCATTTGAACTCAGGTCCTCCCAACTCCAAGGCCAGAGCTCTATCCACTGGGCCACCTAGCTGCCCCAAAGGGTAAAATTATTAAACACAATAGGGGATTAATCTTGCCTAAAGTGAATACTATGTCCCAAATTTGGTCCTTCACCCTCCCCATCAAACCCACACATGCATACACGCATACTGAGGGGGTGGGAGAGCAGGGGAAAGGGGAGAAAAGATACTTTAGTTCTTTCACTTAAGCTTCCTGGGCTGAGAAAGAAGAAAGGTTCTGTATCATGGACTTGATGAATCTGCCCCATGGAATTTTACCTCTCAAGCTAGGGTTTAGTCGGGTCCCAAAGCAGCCTCTAGCTTTTCCCTACATATTAGTGCCAGAGCAATCTTCCTCAAATACTGCTTTTCACATGTTAGCTAGGTGGTGCCGTGTATAGAGCAGCAGGCCTGCAGTCAGGAAGATCCCAATTCCAGCTCAGACTCTTACTAGTTACGTGACCCTGGGCAAGCCACTTAACCTCTTTGCATCAGTTTCCCCATCTATAAAATGGGCATAACAACAACACAGGGTCGTTGGAAGAATCAAAGGAGATAATAATTATAATGTGCTTAGCACAGTGCCTAGAACATGGTAGGTATTATAAAAATGTTATTATTATGTCACTGCTGTGCCCCAAATCCTTTGACAGCTCTATAGTGCCCATTTGACATTTTTTGGGGGGGAAGGGGTCAGTTCTTTTGATTTGTATGGGATTCCTATTGTGGAAATTCCCTCTACCAATGTAGATTAAGCAACTCATCCTAGTTGGGTCCTCCAAGGTCAAAAAGAACAACCCTAATCTTTTTTTTGATTAATCGTGATTGATTAATAATACCCTTTCTGTGAAGCTCTTCATGACCACTAGCATGTTCCTCCAGAGAAGGTATATAAACTGCTTTCCCTGGCATTGAAGGGAACTCCAGTTTGGGCCAACAGAGTATACAGACAGTTTGAGGGCCCATTCCAAAGAACTTTGGCTCATACCCAGTTTCCCTGGGGAACACCAGAATTTGGGTTGTATCTAGATCTGTAAAACAAGAATAAAAGAGTTTTCTGCTTCTGTGCAAGCTCTCCAGCCACCAAAATGGTAATCATAGCACCTGAGTGGTAGAGTGGAGAGGGTGCTATGCTGGGAAACAGGAAGACCTGAGTTCAAATCCAGACTCAGGCACCAGCTATGTGACCCTGGGCAAGTTGCATAACTTCTCTCTGACTCACTTTCCTCATTTGTAAAAATGTAGGCAATACTATTACATGCCTCACCATTTGTCAGCATCAAATGAGATAACATATGCAAAGCACTTTATAAACCTTAAATCCTTCTATGTTAGCTGTTATACAATGTGAGAATTATTGCTTCTATTTTACAAGGAAACTGAGGCTCAGAAAGATGTGACAAGCTCAGGACACAGCTGATGTGTCAGAGCTGTGATTCAAACCCTGGTCTCCTGACTCCAAGTTTAGTACTCTTTTTTAGTACTTGATAACCTTCTTAGCCCTAAGAACCACATATTCCCCAGGGCCTCAGAAAGGCTGAAGGTAGTTTAGAGATAATCTAGTCCAATCTCATTTTATAGTGAAGAGAATCTAAGACAGGTCCAGGGAGACCAAGATAACCCAAGAAAAGTTAAGTGGATTGTAAAAGAACATCTTGCTGTCTTTGATGAATTTAAACCACTTGGCTGAGAGAACTGCATCCTCAGATACTAAACAAACTGGTGAATGTGACTGCCAAACTACTAACAGAGATATCAAAAAGACCGTGGACAACAGGAAGGACCCTCAAAAGGGCAAATGTTTCAGTTCTCAGAAAAGAAAAAAGGATGGAATTTCTAAACTATGGGCCAAAGAGCTTTACTTTAATTCCCGGAAAATTTTTAGAAAATACTATTAAAGAACTTTTTTTCCACTTTTTTTCCAATTTTATTTCTAATTTATGGAATAAAACAAGCATTTCCATAACACAGTACAACAAAAAAGATGATTGCATGTGAAACTGCAAATCTACTATGTACAATGTGCTATACAACTAAATTATCATGTACATTTCCTGTTTTTTCCTTCCCTCTCTCTCTACCCTAGAGATAGCTTCCATTAGACCCAAATAGGTATACATAGATATATATGTAAAATTATTCTATACATACTTCTATTTATTAGTTCTTTCTCTAGATACAGATAGCATCTTTCTTCATATGTCCTTTATAGTTAATTTGGGTATTTATAATATTCAAAACAACTTATTCACTCAAAGTCATTCTTAAAACAATATTGCTGTTACCATATACAACGTTCTCTTGGTTCTGTTCTGTTCATTCTGCTCTTCATTATTTTGTGCAGTGCTTCCATGTTTTTCTTAAATCATCGAGCTCCTCATTTCTTATAGCAGTATTCCATCACAACCATATACTACAACTTGTTCAACCATTCCCCAATTGATGGACATCCCTGCAATTTCCAGTTCTTTGCCACCACAAAGAGAGCAGTTATAAATATTTTACCTGTTTAGTGAATGTCTAGAAAAAGAAGCAATTAAAACAACTCAACATGACTTTTTCATAAAGACCAGGTCATGTCAGGCTAACCTTATTTCCTATTTTGGCAGCGTTATTAAACTACTAGAGATCAGAGATTTTAGTAAAGCATTTGATAATCTCTCACATTAATCATGGGAAAGATGGAGGCTAGATGGTAGTACAAATTCAAAACTGACTGACTGGCTGAACTCATGTCAAGTAAGCAGGAAATCTCCAGTGGAATGCCCTAGGGATCTGTGCTGGACCCTGTGTTCTTTAATATTTTTATCAGTGACCATATAGAGATGGTATAGATGTCATCCTTGTTGAATCTGCAAATGACACAAAGCAGGAAGGGATAGATCCCCAGACATCTTGATAGGGTATAACATGGAGCCAAATCTAATAAGATGAAATTCGATAAGGATAAATGGCTAGGTTTTACATTTGGAGTTAAAAAAATTACTTCACCAGTACAAGGTAGGGAAGACATGGTTAGCAATATTTGTCTGAAAAAGATCTGGTGATTTTAGTGAACTGAAGGCTCAATATGAGTCAACAATTCGGAAGGGCAGCCAAAAAAGCTAACACAATCTAAGACTACGTTAAAAGAGGTCAAGCTTTCAGGAAGAAGGAGGTGAAAGTCCTACCTATCCTCTGTCCTGGTTAGAACCTATGTGGAGGATTGTGTTCAGTTTGAGGCAACACAATTAAGAAAGGACATTGAAAAGCAAGGGAGCATCCAGAAGAGGGCATCCAGAGGTGGAGGACCTCCGTGATGTTTTTCAGTCATGTCTGACTCTTCATGACCCCATTTGGGGTTTTTTTGGCAAAGACACTGGAGTGGTTTGCCATTTCCTTCTGCCTCTCATTTTGTAGATGAGGATACCTAAGCAAAGAGGGTGAAATGGCTTGCCTAGGGTCACATAACTAGTAAGTGTCTGAGGCCAGATTTGAACTCAGGAAGCTGAGTCTTCCTGACTCCAGGTCTAGTACTCTATCCACTGGTTGAAGGAACTGGGTGTAAGCCTGAAGCATGATCACTGTGAAAGACTGTCATGCTGAAGACCAATTAGACTTAACTCTGTTTTGCTCCAGAAGGCATCACCAGGAGTATGGAGTATTAAGTTGCAAAGAGGCAAGGACTGGATGTCAGGTATCCAGATCCTCTTTTGGGCATGGGCTGGTCTAGACAGCCACTAAGGTGGCTAAACCTAAGCCTAAAACTCTCTGATTCTTTAGGAGACTTGTTTAAAGCCACACAGGTGAGTAAGCAGCAGAACTGGGATTTAAACTTCTGATTCCAAATGCAGCATTCTTTCCATTACACTACTGCCTCAGGAATCGAGAGGGAACAAAAGGGGTAGAGGGGCAAAAAGAGGGAAGAGAAGAAAATAGGAGAAAAGGAGGAAGGGAAAAAGGAGGAAGAGCAGGTAGCGGGAGAAGGAGGTGGCTGGCCCCTGTCTCTAGTCTGCCCTCTCTGCAGCACGGATACCCTGGGCCAGCCTAGGCCTTTCTGGCTGCACCAAGTACTGAGCCTGGTGTTTTTCTCTTACTTTCAAAGAAGCCTCTCAGCTCTCCACAGTATGCATATTCTTGACTCAGCTCTAGCCTGTGGGTGGTGCTTCCTGTTGCCTGGAGCTGGCAGGAGATGCCTCAGGGTAGTTTGGCTCTATGCCTAGTCCTTCATTTTCATGTGCCCATAAAACACAAGGGTTTGATCCATCACCCACAGTCTGGAAGTGAACCCCATTGCTACTTGCTGGTTCTGCTCTACCTCACCTAGTTGTTGCATGGACTAAATGAGATGATGTACATGAAATTTACAGAACTATGACCTGTAATTATTAGTTGGGGTTTTGGAATCTCCTTGTGAGGTGGAGAACGGGTGAGGATGTGGCCTTTGTGTCCTCAGATTACAGATAGAGAAAATGAGGTTGAACTTAAACCTCAAGAAGATTCAGAATTCAAAATCAACTCTCCAAATGAGGATTCAAATATTTTCAAGGGGCCTTCTTCCCCATCCCCAATGTTTTCAGCTAAGAACACTAATGTGAGGGGTGGTG